CCCCACTATAATATCACTTGCAGATCTCAATCTTCACGGCTTCTTGCGAGCAGCTGGGTTCTCGTCGCGATTCTTCTTCTAGCAGATTTTCTACTTGTACGAACATCTCAGTCGTTAATATTGGCTGTACCATTTCATCTAGCCCTACTTTCCGTATTCCTAATGCTAAATCTCGTAGTTCACCCTTTAAATCTTATCCTGCTCAGCCGAAGTCGACCAAATTCTCAGGTGAGTGCGCACATTTACAATTACTTCCTTGTTCGAGGCACTACGTCAAAGGCGAATTCGAGATTTCTTTGGCGTGCGCGCTAATTGTGACGAAAAGTGGCCAATAAACACATTTATGCATCTGTCTGTAAAATTATCTAACTGGAATGAAGAAAGGGCTAATGTTGTCCGCGTAGAAATGAGTAGCATAGTGCCGAAAAAGTCAGTGAATGAAACGCGTATAAATCAACTTAGGAGCCGGAACGAGCACGGATGCTCGAAGAATCTGCTACAGCAGCTCTATGGTTATTGCTCAATAGCCTTTCATTCATTATCATTGTTATGATGGTGTTATGGGAATCTAAGAAGGGTAGTAAGGTATGATTTTATCGCTTATTAAACAAAAAAGAGGGATTTATTCACTACAGGAAGCCGACACAATTATGGGCATTGAAATGGCTGCTTATTCAGTACATTGCATAGCAAATCCGTTAATAGCAGTAATTCGAGACAGACGGCTGGAGAACACTTTGGCACATATTCTTCTACGAAATAAGCGGTGAGCATCTTGCTGTTGTTTTATTTGCTGTTTATTTTTCTGCAAGGAGAATTTCTCGAACATTCTTTGGTCAAGCACCTTTCCATCTCTTCCTCTGTTCTCGAGCTTTTTAAAAGCTAGTACAACCATGCGATGTACGTTGCACTTTACTCAAGCGATGGGTAGTCAGTTTACTCATTCGTTCTCTCACTCGTCTGCAGCCGCAGCTGTAAATTTGCCTACGCAAGAAAAAACGTGCGGAAAAGTCCAGCAAGCCTCTCAAATCATTAAGACAAGCGCAAACACTTTCATTTCCAGAATTGCAATTCCCACCTCGTGTAACACTTCTTCTGGAAGTTAGCTGTCGATACGATGCTAATTTGTTTTTCTTTCCAGGCAAACACCAGACGAGGAACTGATAGTGGCGTTAATGAGGGATCCACCTCCGCCCTACACAACATAGCGCTCGCATTGACAACTCTGCACACATCCGTCAACATTGTATATATGTAAATGTATTCAGATTTCTATTAGAAACGAGTGATGACGAGTAATTTGAAGGTGTGGTGATAAAGCACCTTCATTATAAACAATAAGGCAGTACTATGTTCAACATTTTTATGAAATGACTGATCAGCTGTCACTGATCTCCTCCAGCATAAAAAGTTTACAGCTGCGACGGTGTATTTTTTTTCATCAGAGTCGAAGAGTGATTACAAAAAGAAACGAAAGTGAAAACTTACGGTTAGTCTGAGCTTTTTCCGAGTCGGCTGAACAATAGGCTGATTGAGGCTGCTTCCTTGATCCGTTACAGTGTGAACATCAAAGCTGTCAGTAACTGGAGGGGTGTTACTGCTCAGGGGTTTGACTTCATCCTAAAATATGCAAAAATATAATTTCAAAGTAAGATAAATTGGTCATAAAGATATTGAAGATGCAAGATTTTTTGATATTTGCTAACTCACGCATAATGACAGCTCAAAAATAAGATATAATAATTTTGAAGATACAAACTTCTTAATATTATCTGCTAACATACGCATAATGACAGCAGACTATCCGGTTTTTCTTCCACCTCTCTCTTGACGGGTGCCATTATCGTATAAGAAGGTTTCTCATAGTAAATCTCATAATCCAAGATGCTTCTAAAACAAAACATCTATCAGATGAAGTATCAGCACCAAGGTCTTACTCTTCTTTGACTGCAACATTCGCTGACAATGCGCTACCACGTTTTCTGATGGTAGCTTTACTGGTATTTGGTACCTCACGCGATAAAACAAGCTTAGATGCCTAAAAAAAGTTCTTGTTTTTGTATTCCTATTTAGTGAATCTGTTACCTTAATGTCAACACTTCTTGCTTTGAAAAATTGTGCAGTGGCTGTCATCAGATCTCGTCCATCAAAGGTT